TTTGAAAGTTAGATAAAAAACTTTAAACAAAAAAATGCTTTCCATGTCAGTACTTTTGTGGTTAGACCAACTGATAAGTATCTGTGAGGTCATGGGTTCAGATTTCGTCAAGGACTCACTAGTCAGACTTTTTCTTTGTCTCATGCTCACAACATTCTGAAAATTTCATTTTTTATAAATTATAATATTGCTGTTAAATTTCAGGATCACTACCACATGGATAGTGCACTCATTTTCAGATCAAGTGATCCAGGTTCAAGCCCTGGCTGGGGACATTGTGTCATATCTCTCTCCACCAAGGTGTATAAATGGGTGCCAGCAACCTTAATGCCGGAAGGAAACCCCGCAATGAACTAACATCCCATCCAGGGGGGAGTAGAAATATTCCTAGTCACTGAGCCACTTGGCTTGTATGCAGACTTTATCTTACCTACGTACAAATCAAAATGCAAATAGAAGTTTCAACTTGCCCAGATACCATTTTTAAGCCTTCGCCCTTGAAACACTGGTTGTAACAACACATATTTGTTTCCAGTAATCTCTAAAGACAGATTTTAATTCATCTGACCACTACAGTAGTTTGTCANCCCCCCCCCCCCCCCAGTAAACTTTGAAAGTTAGATAAAAAACTTTAAACAAAAAAATGCTTTCCATGTCAGTACTTTTGTGGTTAGACCAACTGATGAGTATCTGTGAGGTCATGGGTTCAGATTTTGTCAAAGACTCACTAGTCAGACTTTTTCTTTGTCGCATGCTGACAACATTCTGAAAATTTCATCTTTTATGAGTTATATATTGCTGTTAAATTTCAGGATCACTACCACATGGATAGTGCACTCATTTTTCCAGATCAGGCAATCCAGGTTCAAGCCCTGGCTGGGGACATTGTTGTGCCTCTCTCCACCAAGGTGTATAAATGGGTACCAGCAACCTTAATGCTGGGGGGAAACCCTGCAATGAACTAACATCCCATCCAGGGGGGAGTAGAAATACTCCTAGTCACTGAGCCACTTGGCTCATATGCAGACTTTACCTTACCTACATATAAATCAAAATGCAAATAGAAGTTTCAACTTGCCCAGATACCATTTTTAGGTCTTTGCCCTTGAAACACTGGTTGTAACAACACATATTTGTTTCCAGTAGTCTCTAAAGACAGATTTTAATTCATCTGACCACTACAGTAGTTTGTCACCTGTTAGACATATTTGCAAGATAGGAAGTCAGTCCTTGCTGTAAAGTTGATTGTGATGCATGTTCTTTGTTCTTTTCTTCATCCTTGATTGAGTTTATCAAAGCTTTTCCTACTTTGGTTTTGAAAAGGTCCTCTACAAATCCACCAGATTCTTGCTTGGCAGCTATGTACAGCATCAATCTCAAAATGCTAGTCAGTTCAAGACTTGATTCCGGAGGAGGCAACAAGACTGTATCTGTTGAAAAAGCAAAGGTTGACTGGTAAAAAAAAAAAGTTCTGCTCACTTACAAGCTAATAAGTGAACCCTTTCGCAGGTTCAAGAGAGGTGACACATTTGATTGTGTCATCGCAGGCACAGCAGAATGGATGGATGGACGACTTAAAATATAAAAACAAAAAGTTTTTCTTTTCAAGGGTGCTGTGTGTTTCACTCAAAACAAAAGTGATGTAGCCCGGCAAATATTTCCTAGTTCCATGCCCTTGTGGGGGCAAGAAGTGATCACTCAGCCAAAAATGGCCTCATTAATTCATTAAAGAGATCAAAATTTTGCCCCCCACAAGGGACTTGCGCTAGCATTAGCAAAATGGTGTATTTAACCTAACATCATAGGTAATCTAATAATAGTTGGATGGTTATTCCACCATGCAGCACCACAGACTACAGAATTCTTGTCCAGCATAACTGGTCAGAGGGGTGCAATTTAGGTTGAGGAATGGTCAACTTCAGGAAAAAGCTTAGTTGTTAATAAGCAAAGGCATAAACAGGTCACACGTCTGCCAGCTTGATTCAGCAAGCTTGACTCATTCAATCAAATCATACATGGTCATACATGTACTGAGTGGGTCAGGTCTCCCAAGACAGGAAACAAAGTGAACAAATTAAGAGAGATGACTGCTTCTTAATGGCTAATCCTTACCTGGACTTGTTTTTGCTTGACTGTTAAGAGGTGGATCTTTCTTACTTTCCGCACTAGACAATGCCTTGACAAATCTTCCTCCATAATTTTTACTACAAACAAGCTTCCGAAACCCAGTTGAGATCTCTTCTTTGTATATAAATTTTGTGCTTCCTAGAACTTTGCCATCAGTTGTTTCCAGTTGTGCAACAACAACACCTGGCTTGTCACTTCCTGAGCAGGTCAAACAAAAATAAAACATTTAGCTTCATTTTTTAATATTAGTCCACCGTCACATCATGGATGTATGTATGGATGGACAACTTGATTAATACACGGTACACCTGCAATTAATTCCTCTCCTGAAGCTGATAATTAAAAGGATTTTAGAGAAGGGGGTTTGAGATATGGACCACCAAAGGTGGTCCCCTGTAGGGGGTCCAGGGGCACCCCCCTCTATAAATAACATAACTCATATTACTTACAATGTAACATAAGTTATTACTGACAGTAATGTTGGTCAGCATTGTACATGTACAGCAGGCCAGTATTGTGTGTAGGAACTATCATGGTAACATAGTGCTCTGTAGGGGTTTTATTAACCTTTTCTGCTGGAGGGCAACTGGTTTTCACAGACAGGGAAAACTACTTGATCTGAACTTCTTTGTACGAAATATTTTCCACTAGATGGTCAAACCAGCTGGGCAAAATTGTCCAGGTCACAGCCCATTAATCCAGCCCTTAATGAAACCCTAGCTCTGCATGCATCATGCTAGTTATCACAAGTTTTAAAAATTTTATTGAACAGACATACTTGGTATGTACTCTCCTATTATTGCCTGCTCTTTCCACAATGAAGCAGGAACAACACTTCCACTACCAAATCGGACACAAAAAAGTGAACTCTGGATATCGATGTCTGCAGGTAATGGCTTGTTGAGAAGCAGCACAAATTTATCACCACCCTGGAAAGAAATAAAGAGGTAAATTATATGATCAATAAATTAAGCCTATGGAATCAAGAATCCCTACTAGCATGAGTCTCAAATGGTTGAAGTGAACCACCTCTGAATATTGCGGTTGGAATGAACTGAAACTGACCTTTCCATTTGACTTCCCACTAAAATTTCCAAAATCTCTGGCATAATGCAAAGCACCCAGTCAAACTGTAGCCAAGATTTTCTGGTTCCAATTTGTGACTTTATCTAGAGTGTTGTGTGATTGGGCACTGCTGACTGAAAATGTACAAACTCCGAGGACAAGATTGTTATATTAATTTCGTACCTCACATGGAGATGATCCTGGAATTATTTCACCCACTAATTCGTCAGATTCTGGAAAAGAAGAAAAGTTATCGTAGGTATATGAAAAGTATGCTGTGTGATCTGTATAGGAGCATTTCTTTGGTGAATGGACAAAACAAATATTGTCATTTTGGTCTGCCGAGTGAACCTTCTCAAAAATAATTCTCATGTGAATATAAATGTCAGGACACACAAGCCGACAAGTTGTCACCTCAGGACTCTGTAACAAAGTGTTCTATGTGCATTGTTTCCAGAATAAGGTGCTGTGTCATGAAGTAGGGATGAGTCGCAGTGACAATTCACTTCATGTGACATGGAAAACTTTGGTGAAAATCTGTTTTCCTATCATAGAATTTTCCCCCAGCAACAATTATTACTAATTCAAGGTTTGAATTTCAGCAAACTGTTGTGGGGAAAAAAATTCTGTAGCGGGGACGATTCTTTTCACAAAATTTTCCATGACATGTGCCTGCGTGGTGTAGCAACAACTTGTGGCCTTTTGTATTGATCCTGACCCTAAAATTAACACCTCTAAATGAAACTTTGTTGCCGGAAGTCCTGTTTTTTGGATGCTTCCACATTGCAATCACCATTTCTACCACTCTCAGAAAAAAAGGCACATTGTTCTGTTGTAGAATATTAATTTTTCATTTAAACCTCACTCACACTGGAAAAAAACAGAAGGATGATTTTGCACCATCATGAATATACTATAATCATAATATAATAATATTATAATAAAATCTTAGTTGTTGTCAATGTGTACTATGGTTGTTGTAATTTGTATTCACCTGTTTTGATTGGAAATGAATTTGCTAAATGCAGTTCTTCCTCAGATTGGAGGCCCCTCAAATAGTCATCCAGGAGAGAATTGAAATCTATAACCTAAAGACAGAAAAATAATGTGACGTTATGCATATTTTTAACGGTTGTTCCACGTTTCGCATGTTTCTCCGGATTGCTTTCCTGAACAATAATGTGAAAAAAAAAAAATTTTAATATCTGTGAGTTAGTAACGCGATCGCGGTGTTTTGGCGGAAAACTCCGGATAACTGAAGAAACTCAACTTTGTTCCGCTCTGTAAGAAGCTTTATGACCGTACGTCACGAGCTGAATCATTCCATACGAAAGCGAGTCGAGTGACAAACATGTTGTGTATAAATACGCTTTGATTATTATAAATTCGCACACCAAAACCACCTCTTTTAACCAGAGAATATAACTAAGATCCGGAAAAAAGGAAGAGAGACAGATTATATGGTGTAAAGAGTACACAAATCCAGCGCTAACTCTATAGAAACGCGACACAAATAAGCTACCTCGAGCATCTTTCTTCCTTTCCACGGCACTTGGCTATTCGATTCCTCGTGTTTTCGTTTACGCGACAAGATTTGCTCATTTGCTGGTTTAGACGTCCTGTCTTCATAATCAAAGATGGTTGGAATCGCATCGTGCTTCAGCGTTGCCTTCTTCGGCCTTGGCAAGCCAAGTGAGTCAAATAGTTTGTAGTTGTGAAGGAAGCAATGAGGTTCAAAATGGGCCGAACACAACCTCGAGTACTTGTTCGGCTCCCAGTTCAACCGACGGACTTTCTCTTTCCAGATCTGACGGTATTTTTCATTAGTAGGAAATTGGAAGAAGCTAAGGGACTTCATCTTTTTGCCATCGTTGTTGCAATTGAACGCAGTACAGTAAACCATGTTTGATTCAGGAAGAAAATTCCTCGCTGCTCCAACAAGTGACTATCGCCGACCACACGAGATGGCACCTGTGACGTCATGCTTGCCTTGTGTTTTTGTTGAAATGTAAAAGATCCGTTGATTGGCCACTGGTAACCAATCAAAACATTCGATATATTTCGCAAGAAAATTTTGCGCGGCACATTTGAGATGAAAGTGATGCTGTTTAGTTGTTATGTCTTCAAATTGAAACGTAAAAATCACAAAATTGCCGGTGATCTGAAGCCAAGATGAACTATCTTCTATAAAGGTAATGTTATGCTTCTGCGAAGACTGTGATTCAAACTTTGTGCGTAGCTAAACTTCGAAGCTTACATCTACAATAACATCGCTAGATGATGATGGTTTCAAGTTCATTAGTTTAGAGATACGTGCTCCCTATTGATTTCTACGAGTTTCGTGGCAAGATTCTTTGATCGGATCTCCTAGTTAATTCGGTTTTTGAACCTGTTTTAAAAGGAAAACAGTGTTAGTTCTGCGACCTTTGAAATTTGAACATGCTTTACAATGTCGCAAAATAATCTAACTGCATAATTTGAATAATCTTGTTAGAGGGATGAAGTGCATGAACAGGCACATGACAGGGCAACCATCTTCATTTTTTCCTTCCAAACATGATGATGTTGCTGAAGAACAGGGGTATTTGAGGTACATGTATCTGATTGTACAGTGAGGATGCGTTCCTTTGGGGTGATTGGGATCACGATCAAAGATGCAAGATCACTTGGGTAGTGATGCATCAAAGAAACCAATAAATTCACTCTGGACAAGGATTCATTAGTTAAATTGATCAGGATCAAAAACCCAAGATCACTTGGGTACTGATGCATCAAAGGAACCAGTCAATGCACTCTGGACAAGGATTCATTAGTTAAGTTGATCAGGATCAAAGACCCAAGATCACTTGGGTAGTGTCGCATCAAAGAAACCAATCAATTCACTCCGGACAAGGATTCATTAGATAAGTTGATGCACTGTGACACAAGTGATCTTGGATCAGTCATTTTGATCTGGATCATGCCAAAGGAATGCATCCTATTTGTACAGGGTAAATTAGATGCAGGAAGTTTTGAGCATACATTGCACCCTTAAATCCTCTCTTGGTAGTATTAATTCACAATCATTAGGCTAAATGAGCAAGTTATTTCAAAACTGTGGCTTATTTTGATAGCACAAAGCTTGTCATTTCATACCAGGAACCAGCTATTTGATGCATAGATGCCTCTCAACAGACAAATAACTGTCAAGTGTGCATTATGTATTTGCGTACAAAACAAACTGTGCTCTCCATAGAAGAGTAATGATTCTGATGGGAAGTATTAATCAACCTTTTAGCAAACAATTGCCAATGGTTGAAGTTAGGCAACATTATCAAGTTACAAGTAGTAATGAAATCCTTTCAAAGATTACATATAATCACATTGCTCAATTAATTCTAAGTTGAATTGTGATGTAATATTGATCATCAACCCAATTTTAAAATGGTATTTAAAATGCATTTTGGAAGGCAGGTCTCAGAAGCGGAAATTTTAATCATTTTTGTTCTCGTACTTGCATTTTTCAGAATGCAAAGAAATGGTGTTACGCTTGAACCTCTGAATTTCCCTGCAACTCAATCAATATTGTGGTGAGTATAAAACATCTATAAACCTTTGGCATTGCCATATAATAATATTACTGTTTACAGCGTACTGTTTATCTTACAGGAACAGAACAGCTCAAGGAGACACTGAAACACTCCATTTGACAACAAAACGGTCAGTTCTTACCTTAAGCGTTCTTTATCACTGCTACTGGTTGGATTTTTTTTAGATCCATTTCTGAGAGGCTGTGAAGTCTGTCAGTTATATTGTAGCACACAAGACTCCTGATCAAAAAATCTGGTCTTGACCCTGGCTGGGCCTGTGATCTCAAAGTGATCTCACCAAGATCACTTTCAAAATGTCAGTGAGATTATCTTCATCTTACCTGGAATGGTGAATTCTGTTTTGTCTTTGTTTTTGTTTTTTTTTCTTTACTCTGAATACATGTATTCCAGTTCTGCCGTGTACATTAATTACACATGTACCTGCATGTAAATTATCATTTAGGCTGCAGCAACTAGAGATAAGTTTAGTACTGATGAGCTAATTCCTAGTTGTATTGACTAACCACCCCCTCCCCTCCCTCCCCCACTTATTTCAGGAATGTGAGGTTGTATATCAATGAGAAGACTTTGCGCTTGGCTCGCAGACATGCCAATCAAAGCAAGTCTTCATTTGAGTGTTTCTTTGTTGGGAGCATCTCCGTAGACTCGCGTGAGTATAAAATAAAATTTTTCCACTGGACTTATGATTTTCTTTAGACAGAGAAGTTCTGTGTGCGTAGGACAGTCAGTTAGACAATAATGATGTTTTGCAACTTCATAAAAATTTTCAGGAGAGGACAGTATTGATGTTACAGTTGACAGATTTGATCCTGGCAGGGAGGTGCTGGTCAATAATGGTATGGTGTTCACATACAAACCACTAAACAAGGCTTGCTTATTTTTAGTTGCTATCACTTTGACTCCCAGGTTTACATGTAAATATTAATGACTAGTATGGTAACTTATTGGCATAAAGTTCTTTTTATCATAGTTGCATCGGAATTCATATCTATCCCCAAAAAAAAAAAATGTTAGCAGTACATTTAGCATTTTAATTCACAACATTTACTTGTACTGGCACTTGTCTGAACTTTTCTTAAAAGGCAAGCTTAGTAATTATGAGGAGGTACATTTACATGTATGATAAAATCCTTATAGGCTGAGTAAGGTTGGAGTGGAAAAAAATAAATGTGGCTTTCATTTTGTCAATTTTTCATGGACAAAGGCCCTTCACAGGCTAATCAAATAAGCTGCTCTCGTTCTGTATTCACAGCTGTACATGTATTTCACTGTCCACCCTACTTTAGACAATTGATATTAAGCAAATGCTGGTTAACCCAATATCAGTCTGTTTATGGTTGCAGACACAGCAAAAGTCAAAAGGAAGGTACCCACAACTGTAGTACCTGGTGACTACATTGTACCCATAACAGTAAGTTATAACATAATATTATTTATTGACCACCGTCAATGATCTTCCTCCATTCTGATGTAGCTGGTGTTTCTCATGACTCATCCTTTTTCATAATTACGTAGTGCATGTAGTTCTGAGGCCTTATGAGCCACTCTAGATCAAGAAGTTAGGAAACATCAAACTTTGTCTAGTCTAATTTTCCAGCTGTTGTCATTGTTGTCGTTGTTGTTTTTGTAGCTGATTCAAGGTCTGAGTGGAGCTGACAGTTCTGTGACATACACATTGGAGGAATTTCAAAAGGCCTTTCAGGTAATTAGTACCTCTGTTGTGTTTAGTGAGAAATCCCTGTAAGTTTTACACCATCTTAAAAGTTCAGATTTCTGGTTTGGAAGGGATTTTGCCTTTGAAATGTTTCGGATCCAGGCACAGGTAAAATATCCATCCCATAAATGTGTTGAAACATTTCAGGTACATGCATACAAGTTAACTGTATATCCACGAACAATGTCTTTAGGGAGGGAGAAGAGGGGACTTTGGTAATTTTATTAGTAAGAAATAATTTTTGCAATTTAGATAAATGTTGTAAGTTTGACAAGTGCTGTTGACACTGTTTTGCAGGTTCTGTTTGGTAGGATCAGCAGTCAGGAAACTATGAATCTATCACACATTGTGAACTTAAAGGTCTGCTGTCATTCACACAGTGATAATGACGATGAAATAATAATCAATGTCAACTGTAAGTATGGTCCCTGAACAAGAACAAAAACTGAAATGCAATTTTCCAAGCAGACAAATACTGTCTGATCAGTACACATATATGCCTTTATGACTGAGATGTGTTGTCAAACTTTCCTTTCCTTGCTTACATGTATGTTAGGTGGTACCATCACCATGGCAACAAGAATACATGTCACCCCTGTAGCAGCAGTGCCTATCATTCCAACAGCACTCGCCAGGAACTTATCAGGTCCCCTGAGACTTAGTGAGGTTCAAGGTGCTCCAAAATGTGGGTATGTGACTGTTAAATAACTACTTTTGCCACTGCAAGTACTGGTATATACACATTAGAAAAATTTGGCTTCATGTCAAGGCAATACTAGTATTAGCTTGACATGAAGCCAAATTAGTATGTTTCTTCAGGGTTTTCTCTGCTCCTACAGTGTATCAGTACTTTAGATGTATGAATTCTTGTTACCTTTATAAATTTATGGGTATATTTTCAGGTACTTGACTATGGACCACACAAGGAAATTGCTGTTGTTGCTGGAATCTGATCCAAAGGCTATTTCTTTGCCTCTCCTGGGAATGTATGTTTGCAAAATACCTCTAAAATAATGTCCAGTTTTTGTTGTGAGAATAATTTTTCTGTCACACAACACTTTTAACAAAGCTTCCTGTTGTGGTTTACATACATGACTGTCATAATACATTATAGTTTCTCGCTTTTTTAAAAAAGAATTGTACAACTGCTGTGACCTTACCTGTAAACATAAATAATTTATTTTGATTGTTTCGATTTATAGCTGGGTTAGTGGAATTTACAACATTCACCATCCATTTGTGTGGGCCTGCTGTCTACGTTTTGTCCATTCAACTGTTATTCAGCAGCGGTAAGTGAATATGGATGTAACACATTTCAGAGACTACGCTGTTAAATCCTACATTACTTGCAAAATGTTTGGGACAATTTTAATTTTGGACAAAAAAGTGTCCATAGATAAAACCGTCTGAAATTTTTAAGCGTCCAAATTTTAACCGTCCGAAATATTTACAGTACATTATGAAACTTTTATAAGTAACTCTAAAGCTCTTACATGAGATGAAATACTGCTTGAGTAGCGGCTTGATATAACTTGTGCTATTTTCTTGCCAGTGTATCTGTAAAACCTTGAGGGTGCAGCTAAACTATCATTTTCGAGGAAATGATGCTGTTTTAGTCTACTTTGTGTTTTGCAGGTGTAAACTTGCTTTTTAAGTAGCTAAATTTCAGCAGTGTTGCAAATGAGATGAAAAAAAATAATGTCCAAAATTTTAAGGTCTCTCTTATTAATTTAATTACCATCACTGTGAAAAATACGTTGATTTATAGTCAGTGAAAAAAAAAAAAAAGAAAAAAAGAAAACAACAAAAACTAATGTGGTGGAAGGGTCAATCTCATAAAATCATACAGTCATAGTTCAGGTCAGAGGTATTAAAGTGATATATCATGATTTATCATAGAAACACTGGTGAAATACCAGGATTTTTCCTTTTACTAAGAAATCATATCTTCATCGCACACAGTGAAGATACTATTTTTATCTTTCACACTGTGAAGATATTGTTCCTTTATCTACACTTAAATTTGTTGACGTATGATCGAAACATCTTTGGATCTTCTTTGGTCATCTTTGGCAATCTTCAGAAATCTTCGGTAATCTTTGGAAAATGTTTGGAAATGTTTGGAAAATGTTAGGAAGCATTCATCTGGCCCTCAGAACAATTTTGGAAAATCTTCGGAAATCTTTGGAAAGTTGTCGGAAATCTTCGGAACAACATCGTCATTGGTATGTTTATATAATAAACAGAATATTACATGCCTGCTTGTGGATACAAATTTTATCTTCTCGTGTTCAACTCAATATCTCACGAGTGAGCTCTGCTCACTCATGAGATATCTGAGATATCAAGTTGAACACTCAAAGATAAAATTCGTATCCACGTGCGGGCATGTAACATCCTCTATATATGCAATAATTTTTATATTAATTTTTTCTTCCCCATAAGTTGTCTTGTCTAAATAAACCTCGAATACACGGATAAACTGAAAAGAGGGAGCCTTAGTTACAAAGTGCAGGGCTGAATTAGAATGGGGGCTTAAAAGAACTAAGGGGCTGGGCTTTATAATAAAAGCTTTTGATGTTAAACACATCGTAAGTCTTTTGATGCTTTGTTCCTCAGGGTGTTTGCACCTCCAAATTCCTTTCTGCTACTTTTGTACTCACCTGTGAGTAGTACACCAGAGTTCTGGGAATGCCGTCAAGATCAGGTAATAACCTCTGGTAATCTAAAATACCAATAAGGTGACAACTTCAGAGTCTCTGACCTTGCTCTCAATTCATTTCCATAAGACAGACACCTGGGATTTAATTTAAAATAATTCCCTACTGATGAGCTGTGATGGACTAACATCCCATCCAGGGGGAGGNGGGGGGGGGAGTAGAAATACTCCTGGTCACTTCATGCTACTGAAACCAGAGATAAGTACTGGCCTGATGGGCCACTAGGCTTGCATGCAGGCTTTACATGTACCTTCACCTACTGACGAGATAGCTCAGCAGCCATCTATTTAGGTGTCTGGTCGTAGACTATTTTCCTTGGAGGAATAATCCTTGGGGAAAATATCTCAAGGATCTTCAAAGATTGATTGTGAGGTTCTTTTAAGGATCTTCTAGCACGGATCGTTCAAAGACTTTGGTTAAATTCACCTCAAGTCTAGGAAGATCTTGAAGGATCCTTGAATGATCAGATCCCTATTATTCAAAATCTTTGTATCTTTTGGACAGTTTTTCACCAGGGATAACATTATTAGTCAGAGACTTGAGAGAGACTATAAACTGCATCCCTGCAGAGCAATGTCGTCAGCATGGGACTTTTTGGGTGAAGTTGCCAACATCTTTCTTTCTGAACTCTGAGGAGAAATTTTGGCCCAGTGAGTAAGCGTACCCAGTCAAACAGTCACATTGGTTTTTAAGTGTACTTTTTTTTTTCTTATGACAAACAGGAACAATTTAAAGGAAAAACATTTGAGTTCTACAGCTGTTATGAAAACCTGCACTTGGAAAAAGTGAGTAAAAATAATCATAATTACAATCTATGAATTTAAAGTTATTAATTTAGGCCAAACATTGTGGTAACATGTCATCAGAAGCAAAGTTTGGTTTGACCATGTAGAGGAAAAATTTTTCTTACATTAGAAGTTCAGTTCAAATAGTTTTCCCCACCTGTGAAAACCAGTTGTCCTCCTGCTGTAAATATTAATAAAACCCTTAACACACCCTGTGCTGTCAGACACAACTTTCTTTGCACACTTACATGTATTCTACTAAGAAATCTAGTGTGACTTCGTAAATTATCAAAATATTGAATAGCATGGGCCTAAAGCAACCCAAGTAGGTGTAGGTATATATCAAATCAATGATTGATAATCAACCGACCTGTCTTGATTGGTATTGTTACTTTTAGTCACTTGGTCCCAGTTCTTCTGAACCACTGTGCTTTGAGTTGTTGCCAGCCCCTGAAGGAATGGGAAGGAGTATTTTTGAAAAAGCTGTGGATGTCTGGGAAAAGGAACATAAACAAACAAGGTGAATGAAGAAACAGTTTCATCATATTTATTATCAGGGGAGTGTCAAAAACATGAAAGCTGATAAGCAGACCCTTGCGTTATAAAAATATCCTTGTCTTAAATGAAAGTGTTTACTAGAAAAAACTAAAACAATTATCTGCATATATTGATTTAGTTTCTCATAATATTAAGCCACTTAAGTCATAAGATGATTCTAAGTCCTGATTACTGGCAATCTGTTAAAGGGACACAGTCAGCTGGTGCACAAGCGCATTAGATGCCATTTCATAGCTAATTTGCATATCACAGAGACGAGATCCATACTGTTTTTAACCAAATATGATAAAAATAATGTCATAGGATCAGCAAAAGCACACTCAAAAACAGGTTTTTCAGTAAACGATTGAAAATCAAACAAAACACTGCGAAGATTGAAGCAGATTTCTAGATGTACTTTGATTTCAGGTTGAGGTGAACTTTTTTCAAAGCGACAAAACTAGTGTCCAGGTCACGGCGGTCCCGCAGCTGACTGTGTCCCTTTGAGGGAGCTCAGTCACGGTTTGCGGATATTGAAAAGTTTAGCCTCAATTTTTCAAATTTGTCGTTTGTAGTCTGTGTTAATCTTCTCCATCCCTAACCATCCTTGTTCCTTTATGGTTTATTATTATCTCTTTGGTGCTTTTCTATCTTATTAAACTGTTATTTTCAGATTTCCTACCATTTAAAGGTAATTTTGTATGTGGCCAAAATAAAAATACCATGACTGAGCCCCTGTAAGGCTCTAGAATCCCTGTAAGTACTCAAAGATTTATTTCATATTTCAGTCCAAACATTTTTGCAGTATTCTGCAAGATCTAGTGTTTTCATTCAGGTTGAATCAAGATGGAGTCAATTCTCATCAAAGCCAACTGATGACTTTGTCAAGACAAGGACCCAACGAAGAAGAGCCAAGTCCAGTGCCCAGGCCCTCTCCATCTCCTCATCCTCAAAAGATACAGGTAAGCGAAACAGGCCTTACATTAAGTAAAGATTAACATTTCTTGGCACCAAACTCAGTAAATTCAAGTATCACAAATCCTCTTTAAAACTTCCAGGGGGATTATTTTAGCAAATGAGAGAGATCTGACTCAGCAAAGTACAATTTCCCAGGAATTTACTTTATACAATGTTCAACAAAATATTGTTAAAACCTTGTGCACCACTAGAAAAAAAAGTGAAAATAACTCATTAGAAGTTAACACCACAAATCAGAACCAGATGTTTTTTAAGGTATGGCACTTTAATCATGTTGAATTGCAATGTTTGTGATTCGACAAAAGAGAAATATTGACAGGACTTATTCATAATTAAGGTGGGAGATGCAGTGGCCTAATGGTTAGACCCCTGACTGAGCCCTGGCTAGGGTTGTGTTGTGCCCTTAAGCTGACTCTCTGACTCTCACAGTGCCCTCTTCACCCAAGTTTATGTAGAGGTACAACCGAAATTAACGCTGGGTTGTAAATGTAACCCCTGCAGTGGGCTAGCATCCCACCTGGAGTGAGTAGGAATATTCAGTTAGGTAATGGTACACTTGCACCAATATAAACTTTGTTGTTAGAGGGGTAGTAATTTTTTTTTTATAAGAACAACAGATTACAGTGAAGCAGATTTAAGCAAATATACTAATTAGGTATCTGTATTCTTTCTTTAGGAGTTTGTGTTACCAGAAGTAACAGAGACTTCATTGTCACTCAGCTTTGATGAACAAGTTTCAGCAGAACACTCAGAAGAGGGGTATACAAATCAGCAGATTCTTCCACATCCAAAACAACATGTACAGCAAACAAAACCTCAGAACCAGCCGAGAAAACAGCAGCAACAAGACCAAGAAAATGATCACGCAAACTTTCAAAAAGAGAGCTCTACAGGTTTTGTAAAAGGGAAGGAACGGTTAAACCAAGTTAGGAAAGGTAGAGCTCCGCCGAATTCACCATCAAGGGAGCCTCTCAAACAAATTTTACCTCCAAATCAAACTCACACCAGGGTGAAGAGTCAAAAACAGACTCATTTACCTCAAAAATCTCACCAAGTGCAAAGAACTGTTGAAGTTCCTAATCGGAGAAGAGCTAGCCCTGGTCACACTGTGCAAGGGAGATCACAAGCGACTGTTTCAGGTNCACATTCGACAGACAGGGAGGATACAAGAGAAGATGAAAGCAAAGGAAGAAAACCCAATCATGTCAACATGTTACAAAGAAATGAACGTCAGTTCTATGACAACTTGCTGGTAACTATGTATTGCAAACCTTTGAATTTAGTTTTTTTGCCTAAAGGCCTGACTTAATGCCTTTACTTCGTCTGCCAAATGAAATTCCAGTGGGGAAGTGATATATAAAATACTGGTCTGACAGAAAAATCCACTAATCTCAATTTTGCATCAAAATATGGTATCGAGATTCAGCATGCAGAAGGAAGTACAGGCTATATAAACAACAGCCTCTGATTGGTAGGAAAATATGCTTGGATATTTGTCTGCAAACAGTACCTGTTCTGAGGAGCGAATGGTTTTCCAAGCGTGAAGCTTGAGGAGAACTGTGAACTTTAAGGAACAGATAATGTCCAAGGACAAATATCCTAGCATACTTTCATACCAAATGGAGGCTATTGTGTTTATTGTCTTTGACATATTAACTTTTTTGCAACATGTGCAGATTTGAAAATTGGGGAATATCACTCAGATATTCCCAAGTTTTAGCAGGTGCATATTCAGTCACATGACACATTTGGTCCAATGGCACCCTGGCCAAAATATTAGCTGGACTATAAGTAAAAACATAAAGCACAAAACACTAATTATTGCTGACCTCTTGAACTGTTTCTAGGACCAAGTCAAAACTATTCTTGATCACCAAGTTCAAGAAAACCGTTCTTTGCAAGAATCTTCCCAGAAATCTGATCCATCCGAACCTGCCAAACCCCATTATGCAACAAGAGAAGAAGTTGTTATGGCAACAATGAAAGAGTTAGAAAAGATGAAAGCTACAGCTATAGAAACTGGAGAAGAAACTGCAAAGTAAGTGCTACCATAATCTCCTTTGCATAAATTGTTTGCATCATCAGTTATGCAACACTTCTTCCAACTAATAAGGAAAAGCATTGCATAACGACCCAAACAACAGCTGCAAACGAGAGTAGTTCTCACAATAGCAAGTCATTATCACAGCCATACACCGATACTAAAAATGTTTTTAACCTCTGACCAATAAGTGGACAATTTCCCAAAACATTTTTCGGCAGGGCTGTCAATAAGGGCCATAACCAGTTACACCTGCAATGGCCAAGTATTTTTTATGGGCCCTTGACGTTACAAGTGAACTGGACTAAAGTTGATACGTTGTTCACTCAAAGGGTAGCAAGTTTTTTATGGATGTGAAACTAAAGGCTACAGTCTACTCAAAACTTAATGACAGCCCTGTTCAGGTTCCAAGATTTTCTCTTACATGAGGTTTAACTAAAACCCACAGCAAAATGGTCCTTGTTTGTAATACTTAATCTCTTTGTCTTTGTGTTTCAGGACACCTGTCAGCACTCTCATTAGGCAATGGCCACTTCAAAGATCGGCATCTTTGAGCTTTATCCCAGATCATCCCCGCATCAATTACCTGTCACTCACCACGGACGATACTCTAGATGAAGTGTTCAATGAAGCAGATCTCAAATACCTCAACGACAATCAGCTGCAAGAACTTCAAC